AGTCTGAATTTTCCCCTGGAATTTCCATGTGCTCTTGCTTGCCCTGTAGATACTTAAAAAAAATCAGCTCACAAGTGCAGTGAGCTGTATTTCAGTTACTTTTTGCCTTGTTTCAAATATAAAGACACATTTTAAAATATTTTTAAAAATGTATTTGATACAGGGTCTCACTATGTAGAATGGACTCCTAGTCATTCTCCTGTTTACAGCCTCCCAAGCGATTGGATTCCAGGTGCACACCACTACGCCCAGTCTCAATCGCCAGCTCAGCTGGCCCTGAGGGCGGCCCGGCACGGCACACTGGGGATGGGGATCGAACCCTGGCCCTTGCGCTCTGCCTAAGCAGGCTTGTAGTCCACTGAGCTATCTGGCCGGCCCTGAAGACACATTTTTTTATCCAGAACTTTCAAATGTTTAATACCTTCATGATTATTCTCTTGTTCATTTCTGTGTCCAGATTCCCATGGTGGCACAAAGATGCATTCATTTGAGTGACTTGCCATGGGAAAGATTAATTTTTTTCCCTTTTTGAGAAAGGGTGAGCTGCACTGGAGGAGTTTTAGTTCTTTTCTCTACACTGTAGTGACAGCTTAGCTCTGTTCCCACTACACATGCTGGTGTCCAACAGTGCAGTAGTACTTCCCTCGTGCTGTCACTGCCCCTTGCAGGAAACATGCTTTCTTCATCTTAGACAATGTTCATTGAAGCTCAGAGTTGCTTTGCCGCAGGACTGAATGACAAGCATCCTTCCCACTCTTTCAGTTGATCGTTGCCTTTCCATCCTCTCCCCTGTTCTATAGTCTACCCTCATCCCTGGAGGAACCTCAGGAATGTAGTTTATCCTGAGAGAGGCTCTTGTGTGATAACTGTGTGTGTGTGGGCGTGGGTGTGGGCATGGGTGTGGGCATGGGAGTGTGTGTGTGGGTGTGTGTGTGTGGGTGGGTGGGTGGGTGTGGGGTAGTAGCTGCCAGCAGGGCAGCACTTGGGAATTTCAGGCACTTTAAAGAAAGTCTCTGTGGAGAGGCGGGTTACTCATTTACTTGAAAATACTTCCATATAAGCTTGAGGGCTGTGCCTCAAGGTCAACATGAGGTAAACTGTTAAACCTGGATTATTTTCATAGGGGTGGCAGGGGTTGTGTGTCTGGGAAATCTGGAAAAATATAAAAGTTAATCTCTATCAACTAAAATTTTTTAGAGAACTCAAGCTCTAAGTAAATGTACAATATAATGTTTTGTTTATACATCTGATACATGGTTCATAATGTGATAAAATATATAGGAAGTAGTCATCACTCATACTGAAACAACTTAATTGGTTGAAATAAATGATTATCAGTTGCTTTATGCCTCTTGAGCAGTAATTTTTTTTCTTGCATTGGAATTTTATTTGTTGGGAAACTTAAAATCAAAACCTCTGTCTGGAGATAAAAAACAGTAATTAATACAGAGAGCCTTTTCTGGTCCTTAGTCCAGGAAACTTTTATTTGTAATCCTGTGGATAAATTATTGGAATCTTGTCAATTTAATGCCAATCTACCACTTCCAGTGCAATCCATAGTGAGAATAAAGACACTAGAGCATATTCATAGTTTTGGGGAGCGAAGGGGTCCTAAGTCCAGCCATGGTGATGGCTGTCTGGAACAAAGGCCTCCACCCAGGGTCCAACCCGGGTTTTATTCACTCATGAAGAAAGGAGTGGCTTGAGGATGAGTGTAAGTAGGTGAGTGCTGTGGCTGGGCTGGGTAGGAAGCCTGCAGTGACCTCTGCAGTATGCAGAGAGAAGGACATGCAGAAAGAGTAACCTGCATGACACAACTGAGACAGTGTCTAATGTTTGGGGTCATGCTGCAGCTCCGATATGTAATGTTTCAAACCCCAGGAAGTCAGCCTGTGTCTCCCAGCCAACAGTATGGTGCATTAACTCTTTATCCCATCTCCACCCAGATCACACTGGAGCAGCAGGTGGGGGTTCTGGGGAAACACCCCTGCTGTCTTCAAAGACCACCACAAGCACCTCGGCTAGACCAATATGCATTGCTTAAAGTCAGTTGAAGGGATAAGGAAAATGTCCTAACCAGCTCTGTGCATATCAGTATGCGGAATGGGTCAGGCATGGCCAAAACGGAGACATTTTGGAGACTTTTCTTCTTTCAAGGAGAGTACCCAGGCAGTTCTCCACAATGAAGATGAGCTGTGTACAGGTGCCAGTTGTCCCTCCCCATTGTGTGCAGTAACTGTGTGCTGCAGACATGCACTGAGTCAGAAGGCCACTTTCTCTACTAGACATAGAGCTAGTAGATGATTCCTTTGAATGATGCTTGGTACCTCCCAGGTTTCAGTAAATTGATCAGTGTTTTTTATGGGGGTGCTGGAGATGAAACCCAAGGTCGTGAGCATGGCTGGCAGGCCTCTGAGCTGCGGCCCCAGCTCCTTCCTCACCTTTTTAGTCAGGATATTGGTTTGAGTTAGTCTGTGTAATTCTTACCTTTGAAGTTTATAGATTCTAGCCAACATTTTGACCCTAGCCTTCCAAGATCAATTAAGACTCAGGACATACGAGAACTTGTACTGTAACGTCATGTAACTCGGTAGTGCCCCAAATTTTCTGATCAAGGAGATTATGGGGCCAAAGAGGAAAGTGATCCATGATGTAAAGTGTGCCTAAGGAGAGTCACATGGAGAGAAAACATTCTCTCAGGCTTTCACAGAGAGCACATTGGCCAAGCAATGGCTGTGACTCATCCACATGGCTGACACAAGGGATCTACAATCTGAGGTACAGGATCTCAGGATAAATCCTGAGGGGATTTCACTGACCTTATCAGACCCAAAAGCTACAACTCTTGTTGCATAGGTCTTGCTTTATCTTGGTCTTAACCATCCAGCAGAAAAGTATAAAAACAAAGTATAAGAAGTAAAGCCATGTTGTTATGTTGAGCTATAGGGGGACTCAGGTCAACAATTTCTGACATTGCCAGTCAAGTGGAAGACCCAATACTATTATGGACTACTGGACTCTTGTGGAATATTTTGCTGAGTTAACACACCTATAATATTCAAATAATGGAACTAAACAAACAAAGGATACAGATGAATGTCCATTTTGTATGTGTATTCAAAATGCTTAGGATAGATATATAGTTACATTCTCTTAATGAATAGAGGGATTTGTTCTAATAGTGTTTGTAAATAGGATATCATGTCCGCATTTTGTACAGCAATTAACCACTAGGAAGAATGTATGCAATCTGTTAATTATTGAACTGTCTTACCAGTTTGGTTTAAAACTGTCTCATTGCTATTTGTTTCTCAATAAAGTTATGAAAAAAAAAGTTTATAGATTCTAGGAAGGACGTTTGTATTGTCAGCTTTGTGTTTCTGTAATGAAACATCAGAGGCAATTAATTGATGAAGGAAAAAGGTTTATTTAGCTCATGATTCTGGAGGTTACAGCCCAGAACTGGGGGCATCCAGGTTTGGCCCTCCAGCAGGGGTGCCTGGTGGCAGGGCAGAATGTACATGGCAGAGTGACCTGCTTACAGGGCAGGAGCCGGAAGGAGACAGACTGGACGCTCTCAGAGCCCCTTCCAGGGCACGCTCGCCCCAGCACTGCCCACCTGGCCCCACCCAGGTGCTCTGCTACCTCCCAGTCGTGAGCCCCGAGCACCAAGACCTTAGCATGCAGTCTTTGGGGGTCACCCACAGGAACTGCAGCAAGGCTCTGTGTGGGGGGAGTTCGGGAGTTACTAGGGCATTAGGCACCGTAGTGTTCTTTCTTGCTTGCTTTTAGTGGGGAAGCTTTCAACAGGATACCAAAGGGGCTTCATGGCTCCAGAGAAATAAGTACCACTCTGTACAATTCCAGGTCAGCACTATTTCTTTTTATTTTGGTTCCATCATGATCTTTTATTTCAATATATTTTCTTTTATGAAAAAACAAAACAAAATGTCAATGAGAAAACAAATAAGAATAGTTGTTGTACTATATATATCCTTATCTTGGGGCTGGGGAGATGGCTCAGTAGAATAACCGCTTTCCTGGCAAGTGAGATGGCCTGAGTTCAATCCCTGGTTGTGCCCCCCTTCCAAAAAATATATATATATCTCCTTATCTTCAAAGTAGTTACATATACAAGACATAAACCAAATATTCTTATATAAGTCAGAATAAAGGCCAGCCAGAGGGCTCAGCGGGCTAAAGTGCCTGCTTAGGCAGAGGGCAGTGGCCAGAGTTTGATCCCCAGTGTGCCATGGTGATGCGTGCCTGTCATCCCAGCGCCTGGGAGGCTGAAAACAGGAGGATCACTCCGAGTCCATTCTACGTAGTGAGATGCTGAACATCCTGTAGAACCTGTACCAACTACACTAAAAAAAAAAAAAAAAAAAAAAAAAAAAAAAAAAAATCAGAATAGCAAATCTTAACAGTGGATTTGCAATTTGAGGAAGTATTTCAAACTTTCCCTCTTTTCTGTTTATCTCTCTTCTGTGTTGTTCTTTGTATTTCTCAGCTGGGAGAAACCAAGTGGTATTTGTACTTGTGTGAGAAATTCCATGGGACCCAGCGAGCTCCATGGTGATCTTTGCTGTAATTTCTGAGAATTCAAGAATGTATCAAAACTCAAGAGTTTGATCCTGAGTGGTTAGCTCTGAAATGGCAGGACTGTTCCAGCAGTGACTGAAAAATAACAAACTATCAGGAATTTCACTTTTGGGGAGTAATGAGTAAAAAAGGTGCCATTCTTTTCACAAAAAGAATTAAAACATTTTATACTCACATGTTGGAAGATATGAAATATTAAAAATAATAACTAATTGAAACTTGAATAATTTCATTTTCACAGCCATGGTTAAAATTATTTTTGAAGGAGAAAATATTGAAAATGTTTTTAGTATGGAGTGGATATAAATGTACGTGTATGTATGTGTATATGCACACATATATAGGAATTGCTTTTTAGTATTTATGAATAATGAAAGTGATTTCTTTTTAAATTGCAGTGCATGCAAGATATGGGAAATACTAAAGCAAGATTACTCTATGAAGCCAATCTTCCCGAGAACTTTCGAAGACCGCAAACAGATCAGTATCCTTTAAAACTTGTTTTTTTTTTTTTTTTGTGGGTTTATATAAAAAAATTTTTACTGTTCATGTTTATGTCACATTATTGTTCATTGAAGATATGATTTGCCCTGAGTTGTGCTTTGTGTATAGTAGATTTTTAATAGACAGATAGATGTCCACAATGTGATGTGCATAATCTTTCACGTAGTTATTACTGAGTATGAAATTTTGTAACTTATTTTCCTGATTTCCATCTCTTGATAAGAGAATATGTGTTTATGATTTTAGGCTGTGAACATCCAATTTTGAGGTTATTTCCATATGGCATTTGGTCACCTTTAAGTAGTGGCTGTATTTATGTGAAACATTGGACCTGTATGTGTTTAAATGGAAAATTAAGTATTTAAATTCTGAGTAATTTATAGTAATATTTACTGCTAGCTGTCCTTGTCATAGATTGTACAACTATGCTTACTTTCTGTACTGCCTTTTTGAATGGGTAGATTTTTTCTTCCATGAGTATTTTTGTGAAGATGTGTTTCATATTTGTTAAAGATAAAACCGTCTGACTCTAATAGGACTTCTGACACTCACTGAAGTTGAAGAAAGCATTGACTGACGTTAGCAGATTGGGCGCCCCTGGAGTTCCTCCTGCATAGGGCGTCTGCATTCTTTCTGTCCTGAGCAAAGAATTGGCCAAGATAAGTGCAGATGATATTCATGTTTTATAAGAGGCAGGAAAAGAAACTGGTTCTACAGAACAAATTTGGGCCAAATGAAAGTAGGAAAAGAATACCCGACAGTGCGGCAGCAGCCTCCGCGCAGGACGGCGGCAGCGCTCAGTGGGGCCTGTCTCTTGTGTGTCACCCGCACCTCAGGTTGAAATCCTGACTGTCCTGTGGAAAGCTTGCTGGAGTTCTCAAGGGAAGTGCACATGCAGGGCTTTGGAAACTCTTCTGGGGCTTGTCCCTAGGGAGAAGGAAACTTCCGACCCAAAGGTACCTGGATGAGCTCGTGTTCTCTAAAACCAAAGAATGAATTTTAGGAACAAATGGAGGTTAAGAGCAGAATATATTTATTGGGGAAGAAAGCTTCTGTCCAAGAAAGGGACAGAAGGGGGTCCCCATTGGGTTATCCCCAAGAAGCTGTCTGTTCCAGGGAAGTTTATAGAGTAAAACCAGGTGGAGAGACAGGTCTAAGGCGGAAAACATGGGAACTCGCTTAGGTGGGCATGAGGTGGGACAAAACTATGGTCAACCAATGAGAGTACAAGCACTAGTGCTCAGGTAAAATTGATTAAGTCCAGGACCAAATAGGGAAGCAAGTCATGTAGCAGGCAGGCACGAATATAGAACAGGAGTTTATCTGGTGGTCAGCCAGTAGCAGTTGGATTAGTGACTCTTCCCAGCTTCCTCAAGGTAATGATCAATCCCGGACACTCATCTTTAGGGAGGTGAACATTTGTTCGATCTTTGGTCTCTAAGTCTGGCCCGCAGCAGGAACATACATGTTTCTCATAGTTGTAACATATCTTGTCTTCCATCCTGTCTCTTTGAGGGCCTGACTCTGTCTGACTGCCTATACTATTTCTATCTAATTTGACAGCCTATAACACTAGGATTTGGTAACAAGTCACACCTACTTCCCTAGCCAGTTTTGCCACACCCTAGTCTCTTGTCTCAGTGAGGGATTATTTAGGAATTTTATATTTCTTTTTATTCAGCTTTGCTAGTTCATATGTATCCAGGAATTCATCCATTTCTTCTGTGTTTTCTGTTAGGGTGTGAGCTCTCTGAATAGTTACCAATGACGAGCATTGTGTCAAAATCCATTGTGATTTTGCTTTTTTAAATTTCTAATTGCATGGATGTTAGTCTTGTTTTGGTGAGGTTGGTGAAGAATTTGTCTAATTTGCTTAATCTTTCAAAGAACCAACTCTTCAATTTGCTTTTTTTTTTTAAGTCCCAGTTTCATTAATTTCTGCTGATATTTACAAATTCATTCCTTGTACTAGCTTTGGGTTTGGATTTTTCTTGTATTTCTAAGACCATGAGGTGCATCTGTAGGTTGTTTATTTGAGCTTGTTCTATTTTCCTGATGTGGGAATTCGTTGCCATTAATTTCCCTGTTTGAACTGGTTTCTTTGTGTTCCATAGGTTCTTGATGTCTTCCTGACGTTATTGTTTAATTGTAGGGACTAATTTCTTTAATTTTATCTGTGACCTATTGATTATTCAAGAAGATATTGTTTAATTTTTATGGGTTTGTGTTTTTTTTTGTCACTGATTCCTAGTTTCATTATACTATGATCTGATAATATGCATGGTATAATTTTAGTACTTTTGCATTTACTTAAGCATGCATAATGGGCTAGTTTGTGATCTTTGCTGAGAAGAAAGTATTTTCTTGTTTGAGGATGGAATAGAGGTTCCAAGGTTTTTGAAATCTGACTTTTTTGTCTGATTGATCTGGCCACTTGTGACAGTGGAATATTGAGGTTCCTTGTTGCACTTCTATTGGTATTTATCTGATTTTTCATGTCCAATAGTGACTGTTTTGTGAAGTTGTTTATAGTGGTATTTGTTGTGCATATAGTTGTTACCTTTTCCTGTCGAATTGTTCCCTTAATGAAAGTTTTGGGTTTATCTCTTACGTGGTATTTTACGGATTAAAGAAGCCTCTAAGTTATATAATTGATCTTCTTGATTCCATATTGCTATCCCTGAATGATATGCAGGGAAAGGTAATCTATGCCTTCATAGTAGCCTGGTATGCTGATCTCTTGTGTTCCCTATTGTGCAGGTTGGTAGGATAGCATTTCAGTTTTTGATGAAGTTCAGAGGAGCAAAATATTAGTGTTTTGGACCAGCGATGAATTTAGAAAAAAGATTTTATAGTGAGTTGATGTGTGATCTTTGACATAGTGAAGATATTAGAAATAATGGTAGCAGTACTTTGCTGTTTTAATAATGGTTGCCCTATGCTGGTGATGGTGAATATTTTAGAGCTTTCAGTGATAAGATATATAGCTGTCTGTGGCACATGTGCCATAGGTTTGCTACCACTACCCTAAGGCAAGTGCTTATGAAATATACATTATCTTTTTTAATTTTCAAAATAACTAAGTGAGATAGAGCATGGAATATATTTGGGAGGGGCTTGGGACATTGAAATGTTCAAGATGCCATTAAGACTTCCCAGGGTACACATCTTTCCTTTAAGGGCTCTTGAATATTAGGTAAGATGATAGTCTGAGTAAAATCAGTAGTGCCCTGTTGAGTCTTGCTGACTCTCATGGTTTAGAGTTTTTTGCAAGGGAAATAGTACAATACAGGACACATATTTTTTATAAGATTATTTTATGATGAATCACCCAAAGAATCATATACAAGAGAGCAGAAAATCTGTGTATACATTAAAGACCAAAGACTCCAGCTGAGGGGGCTGGATCCTGATGTCCTGCATGTGTGTAGCTGAAGACCTAGACTCATAACAGGGCCTCACACAAGTGCAGCTGGAGTCCAAGAGCCCACGACAATGGCTCATGCAGGCCCACTTCACCCTTCTGTGCTAGGAAGGCCCAAAGGCCAGTGGTGGAAGCTAGAAAGTCTGTGCCAGCAGGCCGAGGAATCTGCAGTGGAGCCAGGCAGCGATGTTCAAGGAGAGGACCAGAGCCTCCCCAAAATGAAATTAGCCCTTCTCAGTGACAGTGAGGTCCTGAGCTCCTCTTGTTCACTGGGAAAGCCCACATGTCGAAGTTCTCCAGTGGAATGGCCCAAGAGAACCAGCGCCTTCCAATAGCTCCCAACAGTTTCTCCAAACAGCTTTCCAAATGGCCTCATCCAACTCCCAGCAGTTTCCACCTCTTACACGGCTGGCAGCGGTCCTCAGGGAGGCCTCCCACATGCAGCACCAGGCTACTTCAGTTCAACTGGGTGTTGCGCATTGACCGTCAGTTGGCAGTCCACCACAGTGGCCTTACATTTCAACAGTATTTACAGCTGGATTTTAAGATTTATGTGAATATTGCAACTTTTCACATACCTTTGTGAGGTATGATTTATGTTAGGCTTTTGGATTATGCATCTGTGCCATTGATAGTTTAAGGATACTTGCTTGATTTTTCAAACTGCTTCTTCCAAAGCATTTACAAATTATGATCATATGTACTTGAGGTGTTGATCTTTTATTCACTAAAGGTTAGTCAGGTGATTGTTGGGAATTAGTACAAGAGGGACTTCATCTAAACATATTTGAGATAGAGGACTGCCAGAGTTAGAAGTATAAGATGAAAACTTGAACCATGACATTAGCCCCCTATGCAATGTAGTGCTGTAGCCTTCTAAAAGGCAGGGCAGGACAGACAGAGGGAGACAGACAGACATAGGCAAAGCTTTGAAAATAGAAATAGATCTTGCTAGAGGCTAATGAATCCAAACTGAGCTAAATTTATAATATAAGGCCTCATTATATTCTTAAGAAGATTTGTTGCTTTTAAAAAGCTTTGCAGTTTATAAAAGTTAGCACATGCCTTTGTGAAAGTATCTTTTCAGGTGAGATATGATTCATTGTCGGCTGCATGTGGTTGTGCATGATGAACGATAACACTTTACATTAAGCTTATTATTCAAGTATTTCATCCTATTTAAAAAATTTAATTACTTCAGTTCCATGAGACCTGTTGTGTACCAGAGCTAATCGGTTCTCCTTTGAGCTTTTCAAAGTTTGTCCAGGCATATGTGGAAGATTTTTTTGTTATTGTTGGAAGTAAATAGAAATTTGTTTTTAAAGAAAGGCAAATCTTAAAATGCAAATGCATGTTAAAAGGGAAAACATGTAAAGTTTTTCTGAGTTCTACAGTATAAGTTGCTAATATTGGTGGTGGGAAGATTTGGAGGTCTTACTCAGTGCTTTGTATTAGGCATAGAAAAGATTTTGAGCTACTTTGAATTTTATTTATAAATCCAAAATCATTCACTTAAATTTGAGCTGTTATCAATATATTGCTTACTTTGATCCTTTCAAATATCTTAATTTCTAACTTCTAAGATTGTATTACTGATCTATCTCAAATGACATCTGGCAAGTAGAAAATAGTTAGTTATTTTCTAATCTTCAGATTTGTTCATGCTTTTATTTCTTCTCATTTGCTCATCTGTTTAAACACAAGTATGTAAGCCCCCTTAGTTGGTATTTGTACTGTTGGCTAAGTATTTTATATATTTAAAATACATCTATATATTTTTAAAAATTTGCCAATGAAATATAGTATATTCATATTAATAATAAAAGCTAAAACCTAAGTGAAATACCACTATGTAATATACTATTTCTATTTTTAATATTTGTTTATTTGTATTTAGTACAGGGTCTGTAGGGTGTCACTACACAGATCGGACTCGCAGTGATCCTTCTCTTTTCAGCTTCCCAAGCGCTGGAATTATAGGCATGTGCCACAAGGCCCAGTCTCATCCCCATCTCAGTGTGCCCTGGGGGAGGGCTGGCACTGTACAGTGGGGATCAAACCCTCGTCCTTGCGTCTGCCTAAGCAGGCACTTTAATCCACTGAGCTTTCTGGTCAGCCCTTATTTAATTTTTGAGACAGGGTCTCATTATGTAGTTGAGGCTGGCTTTGGATTTACTATGTAGCCCAGGCTGACCTCAGTCATGGTGATCCTCTGTCTCAGCCTCCCAAGTGCTGGGATTCTAGGTGTGTGTCACTGTTCAGCATGTTCTTATTCAATATTTTACATATGTTAATTTACTTAATTCCTAAAATAATTTTTTAAAAGGAATACTAAGGTTGTCACCATTTTAAAAGCTGGTAAAACTGAAACATGAAGTTATATAAAATAAGCTAATTTTATTAAATGAGTGCATATTGTTTTCTATGTTAAATATTATGCTAAATGCTGCATATATATTATTTCCAAAACTCTCAACAGTCTTGGGAGGTACATATTGCTGTCTTTTGTACATACCTAGACATAGATTCAGCAGATTAGCTAACTTCAGAGTCAACTGTCTGTGAAATATTAAGTGCTTGCTAGTGCCCCAAATGATGTCCTACATCAGAGAACACATTTTTTGGGAAGGACATCCTAATGTCACTGTACAGTGCAAAAATGTAGTCAAAGCTTCCTTTGAAAACTCCCTTGCCTTTAGGGCTGGATAGTAGACATGGTCCGTCCACCAGTCCACGTTAGCTGTTCTTTGCTTTTCAGCACTGGAGTAGGGTTCAGGAGTTAGTTTCCATGGGCCTATGAGCTAGCTGCCTGTTTTTGTAAGGGAAATGTTACGGAAACTCAGCTGCACATTATGAGCAGCCTAAATCTTTGGTATTTAGCCCTTGAGAAGAAGTGTGTTTACGCCCCCGGTGATTATGGCTTCCTGAGGTGAACTGACAGTGAAGACTTAGCTTATATTTGGGATTTTGTACAAAAACACATAAAGATTCTACGAGGCATTTTTCTCTGAAAGGCACATAGAATTTCTGAAAAATTTTGTAATAAAAGCAGGAACTTTGGTTTAACTTCTTGATTTCTTATTCCTCAACTGTGCAAGTAGAGTGTCCACTTCTAACAGAGAACGAATCCTCTAGGTGTCTGAACCTCCCTATGGTAGCTGTATGTGCACGTGTGCTGGGGAACAGCACTGGTGCTGGAAGCATGGCGGGTTGGGTCTTTCGAGCCGCTCACTCTTTGTTATGATGTGGAGGGAGTGCTGTGCGTGCATTCCTGGTTGGTGAGAGGAAACGAAGGGGGCAGAATAGGCACGACATGCAGCGCAGCGCCTGCCCCAGGACCTGAGCTGCACTCCGCTGGTGGTGTGGTGACAGAGGACGCAAGAGCCGCGCTTGCGGGAGTTGGGCTTGGTGCGTTTGTTTCAGTGGGCGCGCTCTCTGAAAGAGGTAGACTTTTTCTGGAGAACACAAAGTGGGTCACAAAACTTCAGCTGCACAAACAACAGGAGAGGAAGCACAGGCTGTAGAATCAGAAATCTTAGCAGGTGGGCCTTAGGAGGAGAATCAGTAGGGGTGTTTGCATGTGACTGGACTCTCGGTTTTCCTTAAGTTATCTGTTTTCAGAGCAGTAGAATTTTTCATCAGAGATAAATACGAAAAGAAGAAGTATTATGATAAAAATGCTATAGCTCTTACAAATGTAAGTAAAAACTTCAATTTCTTTGATGTTTGTTTACTAGATCTTGAATTTTTAATATGGAATGTAGCTCAGTTCATTTATTGTAAAAACTTATTGGTTGCATATGCTTATTTGAATATTAGAAAACTTTGGGGTATATCATGTATGGATGTAAGTTTCATATGATGAGTGTGGTCATTATGGATATCCAAACTGTACCAATAAACTGAATTAATGATATATGAAAAAGAAAATATCAGTCACATAATCTCAAGGTCTTATAAAGTAAAACTCCTGATTGAAAAAGAAGGATATTCTGAATAAAAAACTAATGTCTGATTACATGGTATTTAAGTTAATTTTATGAAGTTTCCTAAACAGATGAAGCCCCAATTGAGAAAAGAGAGAAAATTATTTTGCTAAATTCTGAGAAGGTATGCAAAAGAAAAAGCCAAGTTTGTCTCACTCCAGGAGCTTTGGTGGGGATGGCAAAGCAGGAAGGAAGTCTTCAGAAGGGTATTAAAGTGTGCAGTTTTTATTGATTATTATCTGGCCTTTTCATGCTTGTAATAGTTAGCAATAATCAAATATGTCAACTGCTTTTAAAAATTTATTAAACTTATTCATCTTAATTATAGACTAGCTTAAGGCTTATTGTCTATTGTTCAAGCCACTCTTTGGCCTTTGATTCTTATGTTAATAAGCAAGCTAAATACTAGTTAACCTTGTGGCAAAGTTACTTGTTAAGAAATTCAGAAACAGTAGTTTAATCTCATTTTCTATGCACAGTGTGGTGTGTTTTTTTTTCCCTTTTTGATCCCTATGAAGAAACAGTATACTACAAATTCAGTCAAATTTTGACAGAAAAGGATAATATCTTGTTTCTGATCATGAAAAATGTCCTGTTAAATATTTAAAAGTTTCACTGCTATATATTTTAGAGGAAAGGTATTCTTGTGTGTGAAATCTGAGCTGCATTTATAGTGGAAGTGAAATCTGTGGAAAATTGATTAAAAATAGACATTGTTGCCAGGTGTGGTGGTGCATGTCTGTTGTACTACCACTCAGGGGACAGAGGCAGGAGCGTCGTTGTGAGTGCAAGGCCAACTTGCGCTGTATAGTGAGTTCATGCCAGCCTGAACTGCGTGGTAAGATCCTGTCTCCAAAAAAGAAGGAAAAGAAAATCAATACCGTTGAAAATGATATATATAACGTTTATAAACTTAAGTCTGGTTTAAGTATTATAGAGTACAAAAGAACTAATTTTTAAATATGTATAAGTAATGTATTTTCATGTGAAATGTTGAAAATTATTTTAGAATACTTTATAAAACACATTGCTTCTTAGTATTGCCTCTTAATTCTAAAATTTTTTGTTTTAAAGTTGTCTTTATGCAGTTTTAGTGTCATTGGCAACTCCTTGGGCATGCTGTAGTAATGTGTAGGCACTGTTTTTAAGCTGGCCCTCGTGGCCTACTGCCCCTTGCTGATCTGGCCTTGCAGTTTGCTTTCCTTCCCAGCTGGAGCCTGACAGCAAAGCTTTTCCTTTTGGGGAAGAGAGGTGGAATGTGGGGTGCAATAAAATGTTGGTTACACTTCACTTATTGAATACAAATCTATGCTCTAATTCTGAGTTTTAAAAGTAGCCAAGCTGTTAATCTTTTCAAAGCAAAGAACAAGCACTTTCGTAGTGAATTGTCATGCCAGTTTCTAAGAACTAGTAATTCTTGACATTCTAATTACTTGTTTCCCCAGTATAATTATTTTATGTTCTCTTTTACATGATTTTAAACAAAGAGTTTTTATGATACAAGTTATTTTAAGGCTGTTTGATCTCTTGTTTTCCATGTCAATATATAAAGATCTCTAGCAAGAATGCATCCAAGACAGACCAGGTTTAAACCATGCTTGAAGATATGGTTTGACCTTTTTAAGTGGAAAATATTTCCTCATATTTTGTGTTTTATATTATGTGTTGTATGTATTTGCTTTAGGAGTAGCTAAGTACTAATTTACAGAATTATAGCAGACAAAATTGTGTAAAGAAAAAAAAACTTTATAGCCTTGGTTTGAGGTTCAAGACTTACTGTCATAACTAACTTAATAAGAAGCAGATTGAAGGAGGGTATGTCATCTTGCAGTGTTACTTTGATGTTATATAATGACCTAGCTGTTATAGGATCCTTAAAAAAGTACCAGTGATATGATAGGGCAGAAAGTGAAGCCAGTTTTATGGCTCTAAAGATTACTGTGCATTTGATAAATGTATTTCAGTTATATTTTGGCAGTAAAGAGAGCAGGAGGATAAAGCTTCCATTAAAGTGATAACGACATGGGTAGATAGTGAGGAGGAAGATTGTGAAAAGAGCTTACATGAAACCCGTTTTCGTGTATAAATTGCCTCTGCTGTGTGCATAGCTCTCTCGTAGTCCTTTGGGGCAGTTCAGCCAGGACTGCGCTGGAGGTGGTGTGTGCATGTGATGTCAAGGAAGTGTGTAAATTGCTTTACAGCAGGTCTGCTGCTGGCCAGCTTACACTCATCCACTCTTTCTAACCTTTATTTTGTTTTCTTAGACAGTTCATAGTTTAATTAACTTTTTACTATTTCAGCTGTTTTCCTTCTTGAAAGTTATCAGTAAAAATGAAAACTAGTTTTTGTGTCCTGCACAGTGTATCTTGATATTTCTGAGTGTTAATGTCTCAGTAGTAACATTGACTACAGCAAACTGTCAGAGAAATACAATTATTTTTTAGCTTTTTATATGATCTTGTCTAGCTACATTTGAAATTTTATAAAATGGTGAAATATATTTTTAATAATCACTGTTCTCTACCAAATCCTGTGAGAAATTTTACATGGAAATTTTCAGAACTGGTATTTCCTTTGCTGCATGCTCTAAGTGCTTCTGTGTCTCAGCAATATGCTGGCCTTCTCTGCCGTGCCAGGCAGTTCTTACCACCTGCCTTTTGTTTCTTCCACCCTTTGCCTGCGCTCTGTAGATTGCTCCCTCCGACGTTCCTCTTCAGCCTCTAGTGTCTTCTCCTCCTCTGCAAGCTGCTGCTGAGAAGAACAAGCTGGAGGTAGGCAGCGTTTCCACCTTCTGTGCCGAGGTGGCGGTGCTAACGGAGCTTCCTGGGCCGCGGGCTGTGACTTGCAGCGCTGTGATCATTGATACTTTGAATGATCTGAATGCAAGAATTCCCTTTGTGTTTCCTTAGGATATAAATGGAAGGGCTTTGACCTGTATTTAGTTTCCAAAATTATTGATTTATTTGGCCATAACTGTGTGTCAGCAGGGCCAGCCAAATAGCTCAGTAGATTAAAGCACCTGCAAGCAGGCACAGGGGCCGGGGTGCAATCCCTGTGCCAGCCCTGCCCATGGGGTGCGCTGAGACAGCCAGTGAGACTGGGCGTGGTGGCACACTCCTGTAATCCCCACTCTTGGGAGGCTGTAAACAGGCAGATCACTATGAGTGCACTCTAGTAATGAGACCCTGAACACCCTGCAGACCCTTCCCTAAAAATACAGGAAAAGAATATGTGTCAGCAGTTAAGCAATTAGTTTTTTTGTTGTTGTGACTGTTATCTTGTAGGACTTTTTTAATAGTTTGTTAGAGAATTCTTCTATTAGGGAAGTTTTTTATTAAAAAATATTTTATCTCTTGTTTATTTTATTGAGCTTTATGAATTGATCTGAAGCGTTCTTTTAGCTCTCCCTCCTGTGTCTGCTCCACTGTCCTGAGCCTTCCCTTTGGGGAATGATGTGCTCTGTGCGAGGGCTGTAGAGACATGGAAGGGCTGGCCTGTGCCCTCCAGCAACTGCCCGTGCTGCCCCCAGGCCTCCGCGTTGCCCTACCTCCTGTCCCACTGTTTTTATTCTCAGACGGGGTCATGCCGAGTTGCTAAGTTACCTCTGCTCTTCCTACCTCAGCCTCAGGGTTCTAGGATCACAGGTGTGCAATGCCTTGCGTTGGCTGAGTGTTAGTGTTAAGGAGGGAAGCAGACAGCTCTGAGACGGTTTAGAATAGAGTGTAGTGCGAGATGGAGGCTCGCGTGTGCTACTGTTGTATGGGGTGCGTACATTTGATGCATTTTGTACTCTCTGAGTAACCTTTGGAGGCCAGGAGGCATTCCAAGCAGAGAAAGCAGGGCTTGCAGGTTGAGCTGGCCTGGCCCAGATAGGGGCAAGGTGGGGAAGAAGCTTTTTTTGAAGTGTGTGTTTGTATGTATGTATGTATGTTTGTATGTTTGTATATTTGTATTTATTATTTAGCACTGGAGATTTATACTGAGCTACACCTCAACTCTCTTTATTTGAGACAGAATTTCACTTAGTCATCAGGTGGCCTGGGGAGGCTGGGCTGGAACTCGAGATTTTCCTGCCTCAGCCTTGCAGAGTGCTAGTCCTGTAGGTGCTCACCTCAACACCAGCTGCAGAGTGCTAGCCCTGTAGGTGCTCACCTCTACATCAGCTGCTGAGTGCCATTTTGAATCCAGGGAGGAGCTGGGCCTCACACCAAAGGCCCAAGCCCTTTGCTAATGAATTTTGAGGGAAAGCAGGTAACAAGATCATAGCACTCCTCCGCTGGCTCCATGGGACATGAATTTTGTGGTGGTGGCAGAGCAGAGGCTTGAGAACCAGTCTTCGTCCGAGAATAGTGATGAGGCAGGTGCGAAAATATGAGCGGAGAGCATGGAAAGGACTGTGGTTTGGAGAGATTTTCGGGGGAGATGTGTCGGCTGTAGTAATCTGTAAAGGACAGGAATGCTTCGTGACTCCCAGCAGCTAGCTTAGGCATCTGCCCAGGCGTTGTCTCTTAGTGAGGTAAGAGGAGACTCAAGTTGGAGAGAGAGGAGAGGGGTTAAAGCTGCATGTGTGCTGTGCAGTGGTGGCGCCCGCAAGCTGCCGATATTTAGGAGGTGACTGCATGTGCAGGTCTGCACCCAAGGGGGCCGTTAGGGAGTCTGAGACCTGCGTTTGACCATGGGGCCAGTGACAGTGGAACGCCACCGGGGTAGAGAGGCTGGAACACTTGGACCTGGGAGCTACAGAAGATCAAGGCGAGTTCGTGAGGAGACTGAAGGGCAGTTCTGGAGTTGAAAATGGACAGACAGGTCCGTAGGCCGGGGTGAGTTAGTGTGGCTTAGGTCCGCAGGTGCAGGAAGGCTGCGCTGGAGGAGTGGGGGTCAAGTCGTCACTTTGCAGTGTGCCCTGGAGGTTTCTCCTCGGGAGAGAGGGTGCAGGTGGATGGGCTACACCTCTGTGTTCCCAGGTTCTTGCCTCCTCTTCTTAGAAGGCAGTGATTGAGTTCGGTGGCCTGCACTTCTCAGAAGGTCTGTTCCTGCTCTGTAATCCTTCCCGTTTTGACACCTCTCTTTCTGTGCATGCTTTATAATGTTATGGGAAGTATGTGTGTGTGATGGAGTGGATATATATACTCACAACTTTCAAAGGCCATACATAGCCACATTTTGTGACTTAAGTCCCTCAGGTGTAGTTTTGTTATAATGATCCCAGTATATGAACTTTAACACACACGCGCGCGCGCACACACACACACACATGCATGCATACCCTCCCCCACACATGCCTCAAGTACTGCCAAGTAGTGGCAGTTGGACCTAGGGCCCTTGAACTGAACCACATTCCAATCTGTCTTTGTCTTTTACTGTATCTTTTGTGTGTGTGTGTGTGTGGAACCGGGGATTGAACTCAGGCCCTTGCACTTGCCAGGCAAGTGCTTATTCCACTCAGCCATCTCCCCGGCCCCCTTTTACTGTATCTTGAATCTGTGTCGAAGTGGTTCTTGCTACATTGCCTGGACTGGGCCCAAACTTAGTCTTCCTTCCTTAACTCCCTGAGTGGTGGGATTACAGGCTGTCTCAGTTTTCTCTCATTGCTGGGAGAAAATACCTGACATCCACAATTAGGGAGGGAAAGGTTTAGCTCGCAGTTAGTGGAGATGTCAGTCCATCCTCGGCTGGCTCTAAGGCGAGTGGCATATGGCAGAGGGCAGCTGTTCATGGCAGCAGAAAAATAGCAGAACAGCAAGAGCAAAAGGGAGGAGTAGGCGGCAGCAAAGACTAGAAAGCGGTCTGTCTCCCTTATGTTGCATTCAGGCTGTCAGCCCCAGGCTGGGTGTAGCACTCGCATCCATAATCCCAGGAGCACTCACACCCATAATCCCAGCACCGGATCATGAATGAAACAAATTCTAGAAATCTGTCCCATAACTGCATGAGGCTTTGAGGGGACAGCTAGACACAAGCCATGATGCAGGGCTGTGTCACCAGAGCCAGCCCTTGGCTGTGTTTTTTTTTTTTCAGAACTGGGGATTGAACTCGGGCCTTTGTGCTTGCCAGGGAAGCGCTTGTTCCATTGAGCCATCTCCCTGGCCCCTTCTGTTTCATCAGAGTAGTATGTATGTTTATAATTTCTTCAGCAGGATTTTAACCTTTCCACTATACAATAATACAGAATTGTTCTCAGTTCAGTTCCCAAGCAAGAACTTCTGACCAAAATTTTACTTCTGTTCGGATGACGAATATAACTTTGCCATTTTTCCCAAACACGCACAAATGTGGCCATCTTCCCCCAAATCATAAAACAAATTAAATTCTTGGACCCAGGTACCACTGTATCAATTACAGTAGCAGTTGGCCTTCTAGAACTACTGTAGCTGAAAAGCTATAGCAGCCTGGGTTCTGACCGCTTTGCCTCTCCATCAGCAGCCTCTGATTCTGTCAGTGGGAGTCACCTGCGGCTCAGCCTGTACGATCTGAGTTCAGAGCTCGTGCTGTTATGGCACTCCAGGCCTCGTGTTGTAATTCCACATCGGAACCTGAGCAGACTGCAGCTGAAATTTCCAGGTCAAAGAGCATCACATCATGTTCTCTGTTTGATGAAGCTAACGAATTTGGATGATTTTTGGTGATCTCTTGTGTGCCTACTAATCACGGAGGTTAGGAAGTTAGACCTCTACTCATGAGAATGGCGTTCGTGGCAGCTAACTGCAGGCTGCTTTAACGGGTGTTCATGACCTGAGTAGCTCAGGAACAACATTTATTTCTCACAGTTCTGGCAGGTGGGAAGTCCCAGGTCAGGGCTCCCACATTGTGTATCTTGCAAGAGCTGCTTACTCACAGAATGGCACTTTGCACTGCACTCACATTCAATGGCAAGTGGCATGGGCGCTCTCTGGGGCCTTGTTTATAAGGCCACACCCTCCAGCCCTCATCACCCTCCAAAGATGCTGCCCTCTAAAATCATCACAGGAGATGTTTTGTTTCAACCTAAGAATTTTGGGCTGGGCACAGACACTCCAACCATACGATTAATGACTCTGAGAGGATATGCAGCACCTTGTTCCCAACACACTAGTGAGAATAGTCTACTGTGCTGTTTTTCTCAAGAGATTTTACTAATCTAAAAAATATTTGACCACATATAAGGGGTTTATGCCCATCTCGTTTATTCTTCATTTATACAGAGTAGGGATAATGTTAGTCTCTTTAAAGTTGCCTGGTGATTGAAGGAGTCACAGCAGCACCTGGCCCCTGTGTGAGTGCTCAGTAGATAAAGACCAGGGGCCATGGTGAGGCTGCACCAGACCTGGGGGGGGTGTAGGAGGCTCAAGGTCTGGGGTGAGCTCACTGTGCTGACGTGGACATCTTTTGTTCTTTTTAAGAAGGTGATATGATCAGTAGTTATCTCAGGCAGCTTTTGAAAAGATGGAACTCAAAAGTGAGGAGGCACTTGGCAGGTGTTACTGCAGCTTTGTTGTAGAAAGGAGGGTTTGATTGGGCGTGGTTGACTCACCTGCAAGTAATGTTTCTAGCCACCGGGGAAGGTGCACATCTTTCCTCATTCCAGTCTCATCCAGGCACTTGAGCAGGTAGAAAAATGTGTTTTTGTGAAACACACCAAACTTTGTCCTTGGCCTGTGCTAGACAGTGTGAGTGTTCTTGAAGTTCACAGAAAATGCCAGTTTGGAAATAGCGTCTTCTCATAGATTGCTCTTTAGGTTTTAGCACTTTCGGTATTCAGAAGTTCAACTTTCTGTCACCCTTTCATTTTGCCCCTCAAAAGAGGTACTGAGACAAGTGTTGTTAGAGAATCTTGGTGCAGTGTAAGGAGCCCTACTTAAAAGCTGCCTTTTTACCGAGTTCTAGAAATCCCTCCCATTACTCTTCCCTTTTGCTACAAAACAAGGCACCTGCACTATTTGAGCGTAGCTCTCTGTACAGATATTCTCACTGACGTGTGAATTGCTATACTTAATTGCTTTTATTAATCACCAACCATAGAAAACATTAACAGAGGTCTTTAGATTTTGTTCTGCTGTTCTTAAACTTGCAGTTGGAGATACTGCTTATTCCTGCCAGAGAGCTGCTTGCTATACATTAAAGTTCGGGGCCAAGATCAAGGGTTTTCTTTCACCTTGTTAGCATCATACAGCAGGTACAAAAATTTTGCTGTTATACTTGTGCAGTGCAGAGTTCTGCTTTTGAACTTTTTAATACCTTCTTTAACACTGAAATACACATTAAGTATGTGCCTGATTAAATGGGTACTTCCAAACTGTCATTGTTTTAACACTTAGCATTTCAAGGCTCTTGTGTCGCCTGCTACCCATAGCTGATACCTCTTTCCTCAAGGTAACCAGTGTCCTGACCTGGCCATCATTGTCGCCATCACTTTACTTCTCTTCCTGGTTTTAGGTGGTATACATAGCCCCAAACAGGGTGGCTTTGCAGAGTTGGTCTTTACGTAAATGATTGCAAAGCCTTTAAACTTCTAGTATTTCTCTCAACGTTAAAGCCTAAAATTTGCAAATATTATCTTTTCTGATTTATTTATGACAAATACAGTCTGAAAGAGGTTATATTAAACACCATTTTTTTTTTTTATTTTAAAGAGAAAAAAAGTAAAAATAACAGAGTTTCAAAACAGGCTAGTAGGATAGTAGCAACAATTAATACATTGCTTATTTTTATTATCTACATAGTGGCTTTTCTGAGTACAGTACACAAACATGAAATACAGTCTGCACAGTATTAGCACAGACCTGTCTGTGCGAGGAGCTAATTCGCAGCCATCGTGCCTCAGGTAGCACTCACTGGCTGCGATGCTGCAGCTGTGCAAGCCCAGACACTGCTACAGGGGCCCAGGCGAGAGGCGGGCTGTGGCTCCTGGCGTGGCCACGTGCTGAGCTGCCTTCCCGGCCTCTTGTCGATCTTGTCCGGTGTGCTGCAGGAGTCCTAGGAGCTGGGGGAGTACCTGCTGCACTGCCACTGTAATTCTGGGGTTCCGGTCATCTCACCCTCTGAGTGCCAGGAAATGCTCTCAGTGTCCGCTTTTTATCACTTTCTCTTTGGGCACTGTCACTTTTCCTCTTCTGTGGCCTTTTAAGGTTTGGGCTTGTAGTGTTCTGTTCTGTCTCATCTTTAGAAATGCAGCTTGAACACCATTGTGATAGTCACTTCAGCTGCCCTAGACCACCAGTAGGCTTTGTTGGCATGCAGTGGCTCTGCTGTCTTTGCCATTGGAAAACTATGTTTTCCTTCTTTAACTGAATGATCTGAGTATATATTTTGTGATCTTTTTAGGATATTAAAGTTAAAGTGGTTTTACGTTTTTTGTTTACCTGTTATAATTTGTCTTCATCCATGTGATAAGAAAGGATGTTACCTTCTGACATTGCCAGTCCTGAGAATAACCCACTACTATTATGGGCTACTAGAATGTGTTGGATTACTTTCCTGAATTCATGCACCTACGATATTTGAATGGCAATGGAATATCCATCTCTAACAAAACTAAACAAAAAAGGGAGATATAAATTACCACGTTGTAGTGAAATTATACACACACACACACACACACACACACACAACAATTAGGATAGATATACAGCTACTTTCTCTTAGTTCAATGAGAAGAAATATTTGTACTAATAGTGTTTGGACAGGATATCATGTCTACATCTTATACTATGAATAACTACTATGAAAACAACAATATGCAATGTATTAATTATTGAAACTGTCCTACTAACCTGTTTTGAAACTGTCTCATTGCTATTTGTTTCTTAATAAAATTAATTTTTTAGAAAAGAAAAAAAAAAGAAAGGATGTTACATGAGTTAGATTTTTCTCTGATTCAGAGTTAACATTATGGTTGCTACAAAGCGGCATAACCTGTGTAAGGCTGTGCTGAGAACAAACTGACTGGACTTCTCTTTTGCTTAAACACAAACCCTAAAATAGCAAAGAAATTCTAAGTTGTCTTATTTATTTCTTAATTTTTGGAGCTATAGTTGTGTTCTGTCATCAACATGTAACTTTGTGTCATGATATGTAAACTCAATGAGAATATTAATTTGCTGTGTTCATATTCATGTTTTAGTAGAAATTATGCTGGCCAGGCATGGTGGTGTGCATCTGTAATCCCAGCATTCTGGGAGCCTGGACAGGGTATTTAAAAACCCTGTAGGAGGGCCAGTGAGATAGCTCAGTGGTCTAAAGTGCCTGCTTAGGCACGCTTAAGCAGGGTGGGGCTGAGCTGGTCAAAACAAAACAAAACTCCATTAAACCCTGCTGGAGCAACTTAGAGATTTAGTGAGATTCTGTCTCAAAGTAGCACGGTGTGCAGGCCCTGAGTACAATCCCAGTACTGTCAATTAAAAAAAAGTTGTGTTTTAAAAATAAACTCACTAAACTTTGGATTGATTTTCAGAAAGAAAAAGAGAAGAAAAAGGAAGAGAAAAAGAGAGAAAAGGAGCCAGAAAAGCTTACAAAACCACTAACAACTGAAAAGGTAAAATTTCTTTTAAGAAATGTATTGAGATTGTCATCATATTTCTATACTCATATTAATGACCTGGATATTCATAATATTTAAATAATCATCCTTTCAACAACGTTGAGTGAATGTTGCTGTGTGCTAATTGTGCCCATCCAGCCCATCCTGTCTGGGCTGCAGGAGCTGAAAGCGCGTGGGTGTAGGTCATCAGAGTCCCTCAGGGATGCATGCCCCCTCATGAGGACACCCCAGCGGTGCTGACTGGCCTGCGCACACAGTTTCAGGGGAAGTTTAGAGAGAGAAGATGGCACACCTGAGGGATCTTTCAGAAGAGGCCTCGAGCCAGACTTGAATGGCAGGTAGGATGACGGTAGGAGGCAGGAGTGGATTAGTTTGAGAAAACAGCCTGAAATCAGGTAATGAAATTGGAAGTAAAGTGTATCTTAGAAATGATTTTGAAGAAAGGAGTTTGAGCATGAGAAGATGTAAAAATGAAGCACAGAATGGCAGATTAATTCAGATCATAGACTTTTGTTCAGGTTTGGAAGAAAAGGCTCTGGGCAGCACTTCCGGTACCTCATCTAATTCAGAGGAGTTTTGTTTTTGGAAGACAGTAATATGCAGAGTGCATCTGACAGGCCAGCCAGAGGGAAGGAGAAAGCGTACCTTATTTGTAAAGAGACGTTATATAGTCATAATAGGTTGGCTTTGAGTGCATTTCATTGGACATTTTCATGGTCAGAGACTTAGCAGGCTGGGTGTGGTGCCATGTGCCTATAATCCCAGCACTTGGTTGGGAGGCTGAGGTAGGAGGAGTGCTGCGAGTTCAAGGCCAGCCAGAGGCATGCATAGTGAGACTGTCAAAAAAAAGGAAGAAAAAAAATCATCAATAAAGTTAGCATTCTTAGGTTTATTTTTTGAAATTTTTAATATCAGCTCTATCAGGGCATACATTCTGTAACGGAAAGTGCATCCACTTACAGTATACAACAGCAGCACATACTGTGCATACTGGTTCTTTCTGGCATTCATTGCAGTATTTCTAGCCTCAAAGAAGTATTAATTCTCAACACTGAAGACATACTAAGGATCCTAAGACTCTCCAGTCCTTTTTATTTTTTATTGTTATGTATTTGGTGCAGGCTCTCACTACACAGGTAGGACTTGTAGTGATCCTCCTGTTTTCAGCCTCCCCGTGCATTACAGGCGTGTGCCACTACATCCGGTCTTGGTGGCCAGTGTACTGTGCCCAGGGGCAGGGCCAGCAAGGCATGTAGTGCCAGGGATCGAACCGCTTGCCTGCTTACTTAGTCCACTGAGCTATCTTGCTAGCCCTTCTTCAGTCTTAGTGCTGCAGGCAAAACCATCCCACCCCTGCCCTGCCCTCCTCTTCTCTGCGTTCCTCCACAGCCCATCCCTCTACTGTGTAGATTTGTCCTGTCACCCAGCTATGGTTTCTGTGTTCATTCATTTGTGTAACCAAGAATACTTTTTCCTTTTCCTGTCTCCTATCTAAAACTTCCTTTCACCTTTTCTATAAAATCCCTCTAGACATTCCAATTATTATATATTTTTTTCCTTTCCTCAAAATTCTGGTGATGTTTTTATGTACTTGATTTATTATTTCTTACCTTGTGTTACTGAATTTCTCTAAAGTTTCTGGTGATCCACATTAAGTACATGTGAATTGATTTGTTGATTTTTGTTTTTTCATTTCATGATTTCTGTTGCTGTTGATTCTAAGGTCATGCACAAAGATTAATAGACCATTATTTCTTATTAAATAAGAGTAAATACTGAAGAGTACAAAATTGTCCTGCTGCAAGAAATAATTTGAAACACTTCTAGGGCTGGCAGATAGCTCAGCGGACTAAAGCCTCTGCTTAGGCAGGCCCAGAGACCGAGATTCAATCCCCAGCATGTTGTGCCAGCCCCCTCCCCTCCCCCCGCACACTGAGACAGCTATTGAGACTGGGCATGGTGGCACATGGTTGAAATCCCAGGGCTTGGGAACCTGGAAACAGGAGAATCACTATAGGTCCCATCTGTGTAGTGAGACCCTGTAGACCCTGTACTAAATACATTGCAGTACTTCTTAAAAAATGCTTTCCAGTTAAATTTCTTTGACTGTCACTATCATTACTGTAGTAACAGTTTATTGGATTAAATTCTTTTGTAAATTAAATTTAGGTGGTAAATATTTTTAATATTTTTTAAAAGGTATGATTAAATTTAGGTTTATAACCTGATAACTTGACTAGCTTTAATTCTTACTAATAACTTTTCTTTTAAAATGTGTCAATAAGAAACTGCAAGTGAATTATCATAATTTAAATTTGTTTAGAATGAATTTTGTTATATTTTGTTTCTAAAAATTGGAAATTTCAAAGTAGTTTATATAGCGCCTTGTTATTTTACTTTACTGTGAAGCTTAGCCACTTTTAAAATATCATGTGTTTTCGCTCTTAAATAAAAAAGATATTTCCTCTTTAACATATAGTAAGCATTTTGATGTAGTGATTTGTCTTTTGTAGCTTTGTGTGAGAATAATTTCCTTAAGTTACCCCCTGTGAAAATGGGCCACGACCATTACTACAGAATGGGGTTTTCACATCAGGGTTGTTAGAAAAGGGAGGCCATACATGTGAATGTCAGGAATCCCTCACTTTGTCGGTACTGGGTCCCCTTTCGCAGTATTTTTCATGAAACGCAGTTCACAGCTCATATGTTTATCTTCCCAACCTGAGAGATTCAAGACTCTTGCTGCCAATAGAAAGGTCCTTGCCGAGACAACAGCCCTGTGGAGGGTAAAACTTCAGTTCCTATCAAAATTTAGTAGGCAGAATGTTGCAGAACATCCAAGAAAGGAGGTATGCTGAAAGATACCAGCATGAGAAAACTAGAGGAAAACACCACAGACAAGCAACTTTCCTTTGCACGTGGGCATTTTGTTTTATGTTGTCCCTCAGTTGGTATTTCCAGCGGACATAAATAATCCACAGCATAGAAATCAAAACAGTGGCTTTCAAACTAGTAACAGGCATAGTCATAGTTGTCACAACAGTGTCCTCTTCATTGAGTATTAGTTGTCATTATTGCCAGTGTAATGTGTGTTAGGAATTGGGGTAGGTGTGCAATTTAAGGAGACAGCTGTGTGTACACAGTTTGTATGTAAGATTAACAACCAGACAACACTAGCCAATTTAGGAAGTTCAATAAGGCCTGTACCCCGGAAACTGCACCCATCAGAACCACTCTAACAGGAGTCATTTCTCTCCCTTCAGGGATAAGCATTTCAGCACCCCCTTAAAACTTAAAATTTATTTAACTATTTTTGGCAGATGTGGGGGCTGAACCCAGGGCTTTAGGTATACTGGACAGGCATTCTCCTGAGCTGCGTACCCAGCCCCAGCATATCTCATGGGTAGCTTTACCATCTCTGCATGTCTCTAAACACCGTGATTTGGTTTCCTCTGTTATGGGTGACACCACACCATAACACTGTGGTACATTTTCTTTTATTCAGTCAATATTTTGTTTGTAAGAATCAGTCATACTGTATGTAGTTATAGTTTATTCAGGTTGTTTTGTAGTATTCATGTTCTTCAGTTGATCCATTCTATGAAACTGGGTTCTATGCAAGCTTAAACTATCACACGAAATGCTGTGACAAGCGCTTTTGTATGTACATACAAGCATGTTATTTAGGAATGAAATTGCTGGTTCATAAAGCATGTGCTTCATGAACTTTACTGGGCTGTGTCAATCTTATTTTCCAAAGTGTACACCAAAAATATCCTGAAAATCAAAGCCACTCCGGGATAGTATTTTCAGCTTGGCAAATATGTGAGGGTTATCTCTTAGGATAGTTTATTTTAATTATCTCTTTCCTTGATTGCAAGGAAAATCAATGTGTGTGAGACTCATTACTTTTCATATATTTATTTTGAATTCTTGCTTTAGGTCTTTTGCCTATTCTTCTGTTGTGTTCCTGCTTTTTTCTGATAAATTTGTAGTAATCTACACAAATATACAAATGGCCTTGTTGATTTTGCCACTGGTTCTTGTGGTGTCTGGATTGGAGAAAGAAGGACTTTTTTAAGGCAGCATAAATTAAACTCTCTTATTTCCTCATGTTTAAAAAAATGCTTGATGGCAATTACTAATTCTTGACTCCTTTTTTGAAGTTCACTTATTTTTATAATTTAAGCCGTTGATATGTTTTTTTTTTTTAATTTTGTTTTGTTTTGGTGCTAGTATTGAACCTAAGTCTACATGCAAGGTAAGCACATGCTCTACCTCTGAGTTACCTTCAACCCCATTGGAATGACTCTCGATACATGAGTTAATGAATAGCTTCTTAAAAATATATTAATTTAGAGTTTGAGAAGGAGCCTTACTCTTGTCCCAATTCTCTATATTCTAAAGAAATAAACTAAATCCTACAAGGATGTCGGATCATGTAGAAATGATTTAGTGAATATTAATATCTGAGGAACACAAGACTGTGTCCAGTGATCCTGTCCCTTTTCTACTGTGAATTTGTACTCTAATGTAATAGTAGCTGGCCGTGTATCTCGGTGCCTTTCTCTGAAGGACAGACGGTGCAGTGTGTGTTTATCCACTCAGTATGCTGAATAGTAAGGTATGCAAAAGTGGCACAATGCGATTTTTACCTACTTTATGGTCTGTGTGACTTTGTTTTGTCTGTGTTTACCCAAGCATCTCAGAGGGTCCAGTAGACCCACACCACTCCAGGATTTGTTGGTTTTCTTCTGATTTTCTTGGTGATGGTAGCACAGTTCAGTACATGGGCACATGAAAAACCATATCTGCAGATCTCAGAGGAAGTTAGAAATGAATCATGAGATTGCTTGTACACAAGTGATAAAGATAATCCATTATAGTAAAGTACATGCTTTCATAACAAAAGAGTGGTGTGGGTAGATGAGAGTTATGACTACGATTTTGGCATTGGCCATGTGAGGCAAGGCTCCTGTGACAGGAAATGGAGC